GTAATGCTGCACAAATAGTTTTTATGTAATTCTAAGGCATCTAAAGGTATTTAGCATTTGAGTAATAAGTTAAAATCAGTTACCGATTCAAACCATAATCAGCAATCACTAACTTGCTTTAAGAATTTCATTTACTAAGGCTCTGGTGTATTTATTTCTGAAAAGAAAACGCTATACTTTGCTTAAAGAAGTAATAAAATGTATATTTTCTACTGTCCTTACATATGCAAATTATGTTCATTTTATTCCACAGGCTACGTATCTTCTGCAGTACTTTCACTTGCCTGTAGACGTAGAGTTAATATTCAGCTGCTATGTCAGGGTCAGAAATTATGTAGCTGGCTGAAAGACAAGTTATTTCATTTGCAGGCTTATATTTAATCTCTTTTTTTTTTCTAACATCAATCATTCCATATTCAAAAAATATTTACAGTTGTTTTCTTCAAGAAGTCTAAAAAAGACTTCCTTACACTGCTCAAATTTAAAGACTGAACAGAAAGGCACAATATCAAGGAGGAAAAGTAAATAGAGAATGAATTGTCAACTAAACACCACCCTTACCCATAATATGGCACCACCTCATTGTCTTCAGCATCACTCAGATATATTGCAGTCTGGTTATTCATACAATCAATTGTGTTTTTATTGAGCAATTTCTATGTGCTTAGCACTGACCACGTTAGGCTCTTTAGGATACAAGAGATATATAAAGCACAGGTCCTGCCCACAAGGAGCTTACAATGTGGTTGAGTATTTTTTTTAAAAAATTACCAAAGCCCTTAAAATATACAAGGAGTCTTCAAAAATTTCATGGAAATATTTCTATTACCTAATTCCATTTTTTCTACAAACTTTTTGAAGCACCTTTGTATACTGTATAAATTATTTCTATATAAAAAGCATTTCGGATCATGAGAATAAAGCCTTAGAACAGGAGTGAAGTGGAGAAACATTTTATCCATAGGATGAGCCTAAAGATATTTTGAATTACCAAAATATTCAGTAAAAGCCTGTATAAATAAAAAATATGAACACAAATATTTAAGACAGCAATTACACATTTGAGTAATAATAGTAACTAAAAGCAGAACAAGAAAGGTATATTTTATACAGATCCTTAATATACTTGCATAATGACAGTTATTTTAATAACAGATTTTAAAAATGTGCTTCTAACAACTATGTTGAAAAAATTTTGCTCTTAAGTAGTTCATATGTTTTCTCATGACTTTTATATCATGATTTATTTAATTCTTAAAAATTTTCGTTGTAGATAGTAAAAAGGCAGATCAATTCAACTCTGTCTGAATTTTCATATTTTTTGTGGAACACAGTAAATAATTATGATACATGTATATATGTACATATAAAAGATAATGACTCTGCTTTTCTCCTCTTTCCTTAGGATAATTTGGGTAATGGAAACTTCTGATGGAACCCCAATCTTCTAAACCTAATATTCCCTGTTCTTGTACCCAGCCCTGGTTCTAAGATCTCAGCAAGGCTGGGCATGACTCCACATTATCCTGGCCCAACCCTTCTTGGCAGTAACATGAGGCGGCGGGGGTGGGGGGGTGTTTGTTTGTTTGTTTTCTTTCACACTGGGTTGCACTGGTGCTGAATGAAAGAACTGGTGCTGCAATAGATGGAGGTTGAAGTAGGCAGGAGTTTATTTCTTTGAATGCAAAAGTCATAGTCTAAAATTACACAGAATATTTTATATGTATATTTTATGTATGTATATATTTATCCTGACTATATGTATAGAGTCAGGAACCATGTCTATATAGTACACTTATAAAGCATATTAATGTTATATATTTGTTTTGAATATGTATCCCGTAGAGCTTTATCTCAGTCACTATAACAATAAAACTGTGGATCAAACACCATTCCTCCACATGTAACATTTTTTTGGCAGAGTTCCTAAGGAACTCATTTTATTTTGAGGGTTTAGTTCTATCCTCCTTATAATCTCATTATATAATGATGAGAATCTGTGTTTATTGAAGATTAAGGCACTTGTTAAAAATCAGAAAGCATGTTCCTGAATCATGACCCAGAATATTTGAATACATATATAACAGAACTTACTATTTATGCAATGGATACATTTTTGTGGGTTATAAACAACAGTATCCTCTGTACCTTCTGCTCGATTTTGCTGTGAACCTAAAACTCTCTAAAAACTATTTTTTTAAAAAATATCAAAAGTATTTTATACAGACATACTTTTTCTACATCAGATTTCAGACTAATTGGATGAAGATCATTCCTCATTGCATGAGAAATATCTTTGCTAAAGAGTTATTATTTTTATAACTTTTCTAATTATTTTATTACTTATTACTTTCACATAAAGGGCTTTAATAAACATTGTTATATTAAACTGCATGTGATTATTCTTCCTGGATGTAGACATTTTAAAATCAGGAGAGTTTAACATGAAATTTCCAAAATTAAACAACAACATGGAAACAAAGAGAACTTTATCATATTCACTAAATTTTCAACTGCTAATCATGTATATAAATGTTACTTTTGTTGATAATTTACTAAATAAGTAGTATCTTTCTAGGTGTCAAACTACTGTACTAGCATTAAGAGATTTATGAAGAAGATATAAGGAAAGGGTCTCATTCATCCTGAATTAGAGTTTTGTCCAAGGAAAAAGATATATACAATGAAAATAATTAAGGAACAATACAATACAGTGATTGTCAAAATGAATACTACACAACTTTAGAGTTGGGAATAGAGATAAGGAGAGAACAAAGATATTTAATTGTTCAAGGACTAAGGACAAGGTGAGATTTGAACATGTAGGATGTGGGAAGGTTTTGCATAGATAAATATAATCATGAGGTATTATTGATTATAATATTCTTGTTTAGAATAGCATCCAGGGGTTTGAAGTTGATTCTGTCCAAGACATTTCATTCCACACAATCAGGAAGCCAGTTTACGGGTGAAACTGAGAACTCATATTAAATAATTGCAGATAAATCTAAATAATTCATCATAGTGAATACTTATTGAGTATTTATTGTGCTACACTCATTTTACGTGAGTTATGACAATAACTCTACAGATAAGCATTATTATCTTCAGTTTATGGATGAATTTATTGAGACTCAATGAGATTAATTAACTTTCTCAAGGCCACAGAGCTTCTGAGTAGCACAGGCAGATTTAAATATAAGTTTGACTCCAAAACCTGGGCTTCTAATACTACATCATGTTGTCATATACACAGAATATCAATGTAGCAAATATCGTATTCATCTATACAGGTGGAAGAACAGTAAATCTGGAATTTAAAAACTTGAACTTGAATCTGAATTCTTACTTATATTAGCCATGTGACATTGGGCAAGTCCCCTGTAAACTATACCTTTTTTGTAAAAATAAAATAATAAATAGATGACAACTAGATAATCACGTAGATGAATGATGAACAAGAAAGGTGACAAAAGCATGGGCATTCTTATGACGGTGGCAAATACTATGTGCTCAATAAGATTCATTGAATTTTAACCTCAATAAAGAGATTGTGTGTAGCATCAGCTTTGTGCTAGTTAAGACCATTTCAAACATAGGATCGAAAGAAAATAATTGCAGTTTACAGTTAATTCACAACCCAGTTCAGCTGTTTAGGAAGAATGACAATGGGTTTAATCTAGTTAACAATTTGACAGTGGAGTAACAGCATAGGCTCTTATGGCAAAACCGCTGATACCATATTTTTATCTCTTCCCAAGATGTCCATATAGGTGACAAGATGGCCTTTAGCATAGTGCCTAAAGAGAACAGACTCAGTAAATATGTGTTGAATTATGTGAATGAGGGGAGATAAGATAAGGGTGAGTAAGAGAGGGAGAGAAAAAGGCAAGAGGAAGGAATGTTGGTGGAATTTAAAAGCAGTTAAGGGCATATCAGATTACTCAAAATGTTTTTTTTTAAAGTCCACAGAGTTTTTTATTTCAGTACAGGCAAACATATCCCTTTATTGTATAAAAAGTAACAAAATTTTATATTCAATAACTGTGTCACTTATTTGGATTTTTTTGTATTCTGCCCAAGATGAAATTTTAAAAGATTTTGAATTGATAGTGCTGAATCAGAAGGCTGTGCCTGGATTTCTTTTATTGCTCTAACTGAATTATTAATTAGCTTCATAATTGTTTTTTATGACACTTTAAGGGTTCCCTTAGCTGCATCACTCTTTTGTCTTCAAAGACACAGAAATAACAATTAAGTAGATTGCTAAGTTATTAAATGACCCATAACTAGAATTGAGACTTAGAAACTTTTAGTTCCAAGCTTAGCCCAGAGGGACAAAACATCTCTAAGATAGTAATTGCACATTAGGCATAAATATCCCTTGTCATGGTACCCTCCTGCCATCGTTTGGCATGTTTTTCTATCTCATTCAGTTCATGTCCATTTACTTGAATTCTTGCTCTCATATGTGAATGAGGGGAGATAAGATAAGGGTGAGTAAGAGAGGGAGAGAAAAAGGCAAGAGGAAGGAATGTTGGTGGAATTTAAAAGCAGTTAAGGGCATATCAGATTACTCAAAATGTTTTTTTTTAAAGTCCACAGAGTTTTTTATTTCAGTACAGGCAAACATATCCCTTTATTGTATAAAAAGTAACAAAATTTTATATTCAATAACTGTGTCACTTATTTGGATTTTTTTGTATTCTGCCCAAGATGAAATTTTAAAAGATTTTGAATTGATAGTGCTGAATCAGAAGGCTGTGCCTGGATTTCTTTTATTGCTCTAACTGAATTATTAATTAGCTTCATAATTGTTTTTTATGACACTTTAAGGGTTCCCTTAGCTGCATCACTCTTTTGTCTTCAAAGACACAGAAATAACAATTAAGTAGATTGCTAAGTTATTAAATGACCCATAACTAGAATTGAGACTTAGAAACTTTTAGTTTCAAGCTTAGCCCAGAGGGACAAAACATCTCTAAGATAGTAATTGCACATTAGGCATAAATATCCCTTGTCATGGTACCCTCCTGCCATCGTTTGGCATGTTTTTCTATCTCATTCAGTTCATGTCCATTTACTTGAATTCTTGCTCTCATATCTTGGCTTTTCGGATCAAAAACTTGCACCGACTTTTCAAACTCATATGGTAAAATCAAAACTATCATAAAATATAAAGATGTCCACATTGGTTAAGATTAAGGTAAAGATTTGAATTTGGAAAAAACTGAAACACCAGTCTTTCTTTTTCTCAGTTTTTTCACCCATCATCATCTGTAAAGTTCTGACCAACTTCTTAAATGTGTATTCAAAGCCCGTTCAAGAAGCCAATTTAATATTCGGAGGCATGGAGTATAATAATAAACCTGGTCTCAGTGGGTATCACTGACAAAAAAAACAACAACATTAAAAAAATAAGATAAAAATGAAGAAACAATCCAAATCAAAATATAAAATTTTCCTTCTCAGGTGGGAAGAATACACAAACTCAGGGAAGCAGGATTTGCAATAAAAAGTCCAACTCCGTTCTTTCATTTTCTGTTAGAATAGAGAGAGAAAGATGCAATAAGCATGGATAGAAATAATTTTTATAAATCTTATGTATAGTGCAAGGAGTAAGATATAAGAAATATGTATGCCTTAGACATACAAAACATTCTTGCTTGAAGTAATTACACGTATTTTATAAATCAAAGCAACGGTAAGCACATCAAATGGTCAAATAATCATGTCATAAAAACATGGCCCAATCAGTATATAACTATAGACCAAAAAGAAATAAGGAAGAGTGAAAATTGAAATAGCCATGAAGTGCAATTTTTCTCCTATCAAACCGACAAAGTACGGTATGTATGTTTTTAAGATAATATACAGTTCTGGTTAGAGTGAAGCAAAGCAGACATTCACACATTGCTGATGAAATTTTAAAACTATAGTTACTGAAAGCAGTCTGACTATATACGTCTTTAAAGAACATTAAAAATTACATATTATTTATTCCTTGAGGTCTTACTATGGTTAAAATAAATTCTGCATTTCAGTTCTTGGATAGTTATACAGCACTATTCATCATGATGCCAAATTTGACCACAGATTATGGTTAAGTAAACTATAGTGTATTCTTTTGATAGACTATTATATAAATATAAAAATCACTTTACAAAAGACCTGCAAATTGTCTGAGAAATGCTTATTTTATGTTAAATGAAATAAGAACAAGATTCAAAAGTGCATATTTAATACTATCATGAGTATATAAAAATCAAGAAAATGCAGGAAAAAAGAATACAAAAAATATACTAAAATGATGATGTTTTCCTATGTAGTGGATCTAAAGTTTAATAAACTTCCTTTTTGAAAATTTTCTTCATTTTCCTAAGTTTCTATAGAGAGCATGACTTACTTTTTATAATTGGGGTAAAGTACAATAAAATTTACTTTAAAAAAATTAAAATGGAATTAAAGTGAACCTACCAAAACAGAGATGGCACAAGGTCTCTCCCTTCTTTTCCCTTCATTTGTTTTCCTGGAGAGTATGTGTTTATAGCACAACAGTGCCTGGAAGTATATGGGTGTGTGTATGTGTGTGTGTATATAAAATATACAGATATTAAGGGAAGAGTGTAGGATTGTAAATGTGAGTTGAGCAAAAATTATATTGGCCTCATGATTTTTAGGCAGTTTTCCATAATCAACCAGCTCACTCTTACCCTGTAGGCACAGTTGCACGCTATATTTCTATTGAAAAACACATTCAGATCTTCCCGTGAAGAACAGAAATGATTATCTCATGGTTATCTCAACTACAGAGGGACGAATTTCCAAGGAAGTTGAGCTGCTTGAATGTCCACATCCATAATAACAACTTGTAGTGAATAGAGGAGTTACTGTACTTGACATCGCCCAGATAATGAAATAAAGTGAGCATGCTGACTTTCAATTAAAATGAATAGTTCAACTTATTCGAAAAGTGGGCTATCTGTGAAAACAACAATTAAACCTTTTCACATTCTATCGTAAAAATAAATGGATTACACAATGTGACAATACCCAGCAGACTTTCCATTCAATAAACCCTGCAGTCACTAACAGAATATTGAGAAGAGGTGTTTTGAGGGAGGAAACTAATGTTCAGATTACTGATGCTCAGTATGGCCAATCATGCATCACATTTGGCATTATGTTCTGATTTCAAAAGCGTTCATTCATCGAAGTACATGTTTTATACAAAATAGATCAAATTGAAGGGGCAATCAAAAGTGTACTAGCCATACGATAAATACACTGGATTCTGATGTCTAATTAAAAGAGGAGAAGCTTAGCCTTAAAATATTCCTGAAGACTGTATTTATTATGAAAAATCAGTGACATTCAGGCTGTTTCATGGCAGGAGAGTTGATGAGTCACAAGACCAGACTGAAGCAAGACTGAAGCTTTTAGTTGGAGGAAATTTAAGTAAAAAATGTAAAAAACAACAGCAGCTCCTCTAAGGAATCTAATACTCTCTAATTAGATGTATGTACTTAATTTGCATTTTAATTCTTAGAGATATTCTGCAATTGTAGCATGAATGCAGATGAGAACAGAGAGATGGGGAAAGGCTATACTATAAATTCAGGCAGCTTCTAAATCTCACCTTTCCAAATGGTCACTCCACATCAAGGTTGAGGAACACTGGTGGGGTAAGGAGGTGGAGCTGGATGCATAGTTGTTTGTGTGGTACCTTATCTGTGGACAGACAGAGGGGCTTCAGTGGACAAAATTACTGATTATGACTCCTTTTGTCAGATGACACTTCCTTGAGGATTATAAAAAGAAAAGCAAACCAAAATCCACACATCAACTCACATTGGCTATGATCAAGTAAATAAAGATGCTTTAGACATTATCTTCCCAAGACCATATAATTCCTACCTCCATGCTTTGACTCACACTCTTTCTCCTACACTTCCACCCAAATGAAGCTTAGAGCAGAGACCATGTCTGATATGACTTTTAAATCTCTAGAGCAGTTATCACAGCACATGTCAAATGCTGAATAAAAACTCATTGACTTAAATGATTGGTATAAGCAAATCTGATTCTACCATTCTCTGGCTTGTCTTTCATGATTTCCCATTGCTCTACGATAGAGACCAAACTCAACATAATCTGGCTTCTGGCTGCAATTTTGGCTTTGGTTTAAACTTTTTGCCCTTTTGCTCTTTTGCGCTTAGGCCATGCTAGCTGTGTTTGAACATTAGGAACAGTGCTAGCATCCTTTCTGTCTAAGGCCTTTTGCACCTGCAGTTTCTTCTGCCTGGAGCACTCTTGCATTCCTTCACCACCTGGCTAACTCCTTCTCATCTTCTAAGTCTCACCTTGGAAAATCACTTTGTCAGAGAACACTCTGTTGACTACAAGTAGTCCCCTACTATATGACACCCACTATTTTTCTTTTCAGGAACTCATTACAGTTTGAAGCTAACAGTATGTTTGACTGTTTAATATTTGCCTATAATTAGGTGAATTCTAAGCTACAAGGTTTGCGAGAGCAGGAACCATACCTGGTTTTGCTTACCACTGTCTCCAGCAGCTACCACAGAGCCTGGCACATAGGTCATGGTCAGTAAGTATTTGTAGCATGAGTGAATGAATGATGCTACATAATTGTTCCTGATGCCCATCCCTCAACAACATTCTCCAAATTACAGCCTAAATTCACTAGATGCAATTGAGAATTCTAAAAAAATATTTTGCTATAGCTAAAAAACATTTCTTTTTTATACATTTCTCAGTAATTGTTTTTTACTTTATTTAGTTTATTTTTTACTTTGTTTACTTCCTAAGCCATGTTACAGAATATTTTTAAACAATTCAGTTAAGATAGTGAAGACTATGGATGTCTGTTGTGGGGGGTGGGAGGGTGGGTGACCTTCCAATTTGAATTTGGCTCTTGGACCAAATTACTTTCCTGTGGCAACTGTGGTAAAAAGATTGACATGTGAGAGGTCACTCCACAGACACCTGAACACAGTCCTGTTGTTTCGTTTGCTGTCATGGCTCTTTTGTGGACCTTGTGGCTGTTTGTGGTTTGGCTGAGCGCCACAGTAGCAGCCAGGACCACCCTTCAGGCAGATGACCATACACTCAACTGCACCGAAACAGGGAGAGTCACCAGCTGAGCCTGCAAAGAGAGGAGGAAGTCTTTTTCCTCAAATCCCACTCCAGAGTAACAGAAGAAACAACTGCTCTACCAGATGAGCAAACATCAATGTAGAGATACCAGAAGTACAAATAAACAAGAAAGTATGACACCACCAAAGGAATACAGTAATTCTCATGTACCAGACCCCATAGAGCAGGAAACCCTTGAAATGACCAAAAAGGAATACCAAGCAACAATCTTAAGAAAACTCAAAAAGATAAGAGAAGATTCAATTAGAGAACATAATCAAACAAGAAAAAATATCCAAGATATGAAGGTGCCACAGTAGCAGCCAGGACCACCCTTCAGGCAGATGACCATACACTCAACTGCACCGAAACAGGGAGAGTCACCAGCTGAGCCCGCAAAGAGAGGAGGAAGTCTTTTTCCTCAAATCCCACTCCAGAGGAACAGAAGAAACAACTGCTCTACCAGATGAGCAAACATCAATGTAGAGATACCAGAAGTACAATAATAATAATAATAATAATAATAAATAAACAAGAAAGTATGACACCACCAAAGGAATACAGTAATTCTCAAGTACCAGACCCCATAGAGCAGGAAACCCTTGAAATGACCAAAAAGGAATACCAAGCAACAATCTTAAGAAAACTCAAAAAGATAAGAGAAGATTCAATTAGAGAACATAATCAAACAAGAAAAAATATCCAAGATATGAAGGAGGAAATTTACAAAGAGATTAATACCTTCAAAAAGAATGTAGCAGAACTCCTGGAACTGAAGGATTCATTCAATGAAATAAAAAACACAACTGAGAGCTTAAACAGCAGGTTAGAGCAAGCAGAAGAAAGAACTTCAGATCTCAAAGACAGTCTTTCTGAAATAGCCCAGGCAGAAAAAAAAAAGAAAAAAGAATCTTGAAAAATGAAAAAAATCTAAGAGAACTAGCACACAACCTCAAGTGTACAAACATCTGAATTATGTGTGTTCCAAAAGGGGAGGAGAAAGGAAAAGGCATAGATAACCTATTCAATGAAATGATAATGGAAAAGTTCCCAAGTATAGGGAGAGACACAGACCTTCAGATTCAGTAAGCTCAAAGATCCTCAGACATATCAATCCAAAAAGATTCTCTGCAAGATTCATTATAGTCAAACTGGCAAAGCTCAAAGACAAAGACAGAATTCTAAAAGCAGCAAGAGAAAAGCATCAAGTCATATATATAAGGACTTATAGCAAGTCATATACTATTTGGGAGCCCCCATAAGACTAACAGTAGACTCAACTGAAACATTACAGGCCAGAAGAAAATGGGATGATATATTCAAAATACTAAAAGAAAAAAATTCCAGCCAAGAATGCTATACTCAGCAAGGCTATCCTTCAGAAACAGGGGAGAAATAGGGTATTTCCAGACAAAAACTGTAGGAGTTCACCACCACACAACCAGCCCTGCAAGAAATTCTCAAGGGAATCCTGCGTTCCTGCATCTAAAATCTGAAACCCACTGGTAAACAAAAATGCAAACAAGAAAGAGAAAGAAACTAAATCTTACCACTTCAAAAAATCAACAAACATTGAAGATAAATAACAAAATGGGAAGAAAGGAACAAAAGATATTTAAAACATCTAAACAAAAAGTGATAAAATGCTAGGAGTAAGACAATACCTTTCAGTAACAACCCTAAATGTAAATGGATTAAAAGTCCCTACTCAAAAGACTCAGACTGGCTGACTGCCTTAAAAAGACAGACCCAACTATATGCTGTCTTCAGGAGACTCACCCCACCTGTAAAGACACACAGACTAAAAGTGAAGAAATGGGAAAAGATAGAAAAGAGTGAAAACACAGTATACAGAATGGAAGAAAACATTTGCAAACTCTACATCCAACAAGGGGTTAATATTCAAAATATACAAGGAACTCAAACAACTTGAATGTAATAAAACAAATAATCCAATTAAAAAATGGGCAAAAGAGCTGAATAGACTTTTTTCAAAGGAAGACATACAAAAAGCCAACAGGTACATGAAAAAACACTCAACATCACTAATCATCAGGAAAATTCAAATCAAAACCACACTGAGATATCATCTCACCCCAGTTAGACTGGCTATTATCAAAAAGACAGAATAACAAATGCTGGAGAGGATGTGGAGAAAGAGGAACTCTTCTACACTGTTGGCGGGACTGTAAAATAATATACCCATTATGGAAAACAGTATGAAGGTTTCTCAAACAACTACAGATAAAGCTACCATACAATCCAGCAATCCTACTTCTGAGTACATACCCAAAGGAATGGAAATCATCATGTCAAAGGGACACCTGCACTCCCAAGTTCATCACAGCTTTATTTACAATAGCCAAGATATGGAACCAACCTAAACGTCCATCAACAGATGTCTGGGTAAGGAAAATGTGGTATATACACACAATGGAATACTACTCAGCTGTAAAAAGAATGAAATTCTGCCATTTGCAGCAACATGGATGAGCTTAGAGAAAATTATGTTAAGTGAATTAAGCCAGACACAGAAAGAGAAATACCACATTTCCTCACTTATAAGTGGGACCTAAGAAAGAAGGAAGGAAAGAAGGAAGGAAGGAAGGAAGGAAGGAAGGAAGGAAGGAAGGAAGGAAGGAAGGAAGGAAGGAAGGAAGGATAAGAAAGACCACAATAATACGCTGAATTTTCAGAAAGAGAGAATAGACATATAGTTCCTGGAAGTGGGAAAGGAGGTGAGGGTGGGGGAGGGGGTTAGGGAGAAATTGGGTAATGGAAACAAAGAATAATTACGATTTGTCATGATGAACATGTAATAATATTGGTTTGAAAATAAGTGTGATTAATTATACTTCAATTCTTTCTAAATGTGAAAAAAAAAAAAAAAAAAAAAAAAAAAAAAAAACAAATGCAGGCAGTCTGGTTCCAGAACACATGTGCTAACCATACTTTACAGACTCCTATGATTGGGTTTCATTCCTATGCTGATAAAACTAGTCTCTTGGAAACTTTTGGTATTTGCTTTCATCTCTGGTAGTTCAACACTTGGGCTAGATATACCTGTACTTCATATTAAGCTATAAGATTTACAAACTTTTCCCTCTCTTTTTATAAGAGTATAATGAAACCTCATTAATCCAGAGTAAACAAATTGTTTTGATGAAGGATGAACTACATTTTATATTTTTATGATATATAAAAGAGGTTAATTGGTGAAATTAATAAGTGAAACATATTAGGTAGCTGGAGCAGAATTTGATCTATTCAAAAGGAAAAAATATAAATGATTTTAGAATGCTGAAATGCAAATCCAGCCTTTTGATACCAAGACTTTCCTCGTCTGTATAATGCACTTCTTGATTCCTGCCTTGAAGGAATGTGTAATCTAGTAAGGAAACTATTGAAATAACAAGAAATTACAGAAAATGACACATAATCATGCTTCAGAGTATAGCATGGTGATGTTTGCCATCATCTAATTAGTTGGAATTTGCAGGGCATATCCTGAGAGCTGGCGAGTTCTTCTTAGGCACCATGCCAGCTACCACCAAGAGGGTGATGATCCCTGT